TCATGATTTGACAACCAGAAGGAGGGTTAGGGGTTTGGTCGAAATAGACTCAGCGTGCCAAATCTACATCGTGATCGTACGCGAGCCAACGGCCCTGATATCGGTAGTTATCCGAGTGCAAATAGTCGTAGTCTTCGGCATGTTCTTGTCCGCCCCGAGCGGGAGGTATCCGGCCCACATGTACGTGTACGCGTCCACTCCGGCCGATTTCCACGAGGGCACGATCTTGTCCCGCCACCGAGACCTGTGTTGGTGCGAGGTACTAACAGAGGCGGCGAGAATTGACGCCGCAAAGCAAACCTGCGGTTCCTGCTCAAAAGGTAAAGCGCGATCGCATCCGCGGCGAGGCCGAACAGGATCGCGGCGACACCTAGGAAGACGAGAGGAAAGGACGCCCACGGGCCCGAGCGACTCGTAGAATTCCTCGATCTGTAACTCCTGCTTGTCCTCGTCGACGTCGCGCCGACCATCATGCGCATCAATAGCCCTCGACGGGATTTCTGCAGAGGGACCCTCACCCTCGACTCGATACTTTTTGCTGCGCGTGCTCATCTCGTTCAAGGAATGTTCCGGTTTGCCGCAAGCTCCGGCGAATCAGGACGTGCGGCAGTCTGTGCCCGCAGCTTTTGCTGTGTGCCACGACTCGTCTAAAATTGCATTTCCCGCCGGGGTGCCCCCATACTAGTACTTGATTCTTTACGTCCTCGTTAAAAGGGAAATTACTATGTTGGAACCAATAAGGGTATATATATCATGCATATCCGCGGGTATTGGTTCCAGCATGCCATTCCGGACAATATAAATAATGATACTATCGATCAAATGATGATAGCTAATGGAACCCCTATTCGTACGACCCTCTGCGACCTCCAGGTGCTCTGGGGCAGCCCCGGCATCATTGGGGTTTTGCTTCGCTTCTTGGATCTATCGAGCATCACCTCTCTCCCAGCGTTGGCGCAGCGTTTCGCGGCGGATCACTCGCGTGTGCTTTTCATGCTCGCCCGGACCACACCTAGACTCGAGCGACGCCTCATGGATGCGCTGTCTGATAAGGGCTACGACGCCGTCCGATTTCGGCAGCGGTGGGAAGCCCCGCTTCGTGCGAACTGGATGCGCGACAACGCGGAGCAGGATGGACACGGTCGTGTTCCCCCTGTGGACATCCGTGAACGACGATCGGGATCTGGGCCTTGCTTCTTGTCTATAACCCATGGTGGACTGGTTTGGCCGGTAACAGGTTCCAGAAATTGTGTGACGCGGTTCAAGGTACTATTTCGTTATGGCGACCTCGACACCGGCGCGCCCTCGTTTGAGCTAGCGTCGCGTGCTGACCCCCAATCTTGGAACAAAAGGGGGCCTCCTCCGTTCTTGTGCAGATTGTTTGTAGAACGTGATGCAAAGGCAAAGTCACGTCGTGGAGGGCGCTATGGTGCACTGATGTAATCACAGTGGCAGGTCAACACACGTTCTCCAGGCGGATGCTCGGCGGTTGGAATGGTTCCATTTCAAGGCAGCATTTAACTGGCAGACTCACATGCTCGACCTGTCAGTCAATGGTAGTTTCTGGCGGCTTCCTTTCTCCGCGTATCCGCTATCATCCGTCTACATTCGCAACGTTCGTGGCGCTGGAACGTCGTCTGCTGCCTCAGACTTTGGAGACATAGAGGTAGACTACTGTCGGATGTCAGACCAATGGGATAAGTTCAACGAGCTTGGCGAAGTCATCCCCTACTCGTGGTACAGTGCGCGGTTGCTCTACCCCTATGACCCTGCCCCTCGCGACGCGATGCGGCCTACCTTGTAACACGTCGATGTCACGTCGCTAGGGGGGGCAGCCGCCAGGGGCCTTGAGGGAAAGTGGCTGAGCATCGCCGCCATTCTCATCCCCGCCGGCCGCGTTTGCTTGCACCAGCCTGCAGAAGGGAAGAGAGGAAAAGCAGCAGAAACCACCATCCTCCCGGAGCGAAAAGCAGAAACAAAAGCAGCAGACAGGAAAGCAGCAAAAGCAAACTTCCTCCTTGAGCGTGATCATCGTCGTCCTCGATCACCCTCCTCAGCTTCCTGAGCACAGCCACCATCTTCCTCCCTTGAGTGTGATCATCATCCTCCTCAGCCTGCTGAGGAAGGTTGAGTGTGATCATCATCCTCCTCAGCTTCCTGAGCAGGAAAGCCACCAGCTTCCTCCAAGGTTGAGTATGATCATCATCCTCCTCAGCTTCCTGAGCACAGCCACCATCTTCCTCCCTTGAGTAGCAGGAAAGCTAGAGAGAGATACCCCTAAGCTACTTTAACATGCGTCCGTCCGCACGTATAATGGCAAGTCGTAGTTAGGGGCATAGACGCCTTTCGTGGTACACAAAGCTTCGATCACCGTATCCCAGGAATGTAAAGGGATGTAAGCCCTTCACTATAGGCTAGAAAGGTAGATATTTACACTGCCCTACCAACCGGCGGGGATCTAGCAACACTAAGCAGTGAGCTGCAATTGCAACTCCCAGGCTCCTCGGTCACTAAAAGTGTGCAAGAACAAGAAAGAAGAGGATACCGTTTCCGCGTAGGCTTTTATTAGCTGTGGTGCGGATTATCGGTGCCCGCGAGGGGCAGGAGCTGCGCGTCGCTCCCGGCGACGACGCCGACGACGGGCACGAGCGCCTCGCCCTTCCGGAGCCGGCGCCGCAGGCTATGCACGGAGAGGCTGGTGTGGCCGTTGCGGTCGACGCACGAGGCGATGGATACGTAGTGCGTGTCGAGGTCGACTTGCACGTCGACCCAGCCGTCGGGCCCCGGGCCCCAGCGATTCGGGAGGCCGTCGGCGCCCCCGCCCGTGGCCCTGGAAATGTAGCCGTGGCTGCTGATGAGGATGGCGTCGTCGCTGTCCAAGGTCGCGGCCCCGCCGTCGAACGCGCGCGCGACCGCCAGGCCGACGTACGCGCGGCCGGCGCCGAGCACGGCGCCGAACGCCACCCGGAAGCGCCGCCGCGACCGCGTCAACACATCGCCCCGCGCCCAGCGCGTGCCCGCGGCGGCGCCGGCGAGAAACGCCGGGCCGTCGTCGTTGAGGTCCGCGTAGGAGACTGACGTCGCGCTGGGGCGGAAGAAGAGCGGATTCTCCGCGTCCGTCCGTCGGTACGCCTCGACGTCGCGCTGGCCGGCGAAGGGGAAGCGCGCCTCGACGAGGGCGGCCCAGACGGGCGCCCAGTCGAAGGCGCTGAGCGCGCGGCACGCGAGCCGGAGCTTGCCGACCGCGGCCGCGCCGCCGTACGCGCCGACGGCCGGCAGCAGCGACGACGCCGCGATCGCGCCGAGCGCGCCGGGGACGGGCGGCACGAGGATGCGCTGCAGCTCCTTCTCGGTGACTTCCTCTTTGTCGTCGTCGGTGTAGACGATGAGGAACCATTTACTTTTAGAGTAAAGGGATTTGACCACTCCGTCATACCACTCCATCTTGCCATGGTTATAGAAAGCCTTCTTCACCGTGCGGCCGATGTAGGCGCGCCGGAGCGCCGCAGCGGTGCGCGCCGCGGGCTTCGCGGCCTTCTTCGCCGCGGGCTTCGTCGCCGCGGGCTTCTTCGCCGCCGACGCCTTCTTCGGCGCCCGCTCGCTCCCGCCGGGCCTGGCCATCGCACCCAGCAATCTTTATTCGCTAAGGACGCGTTAGTCTATCGTCTAGAGCGGCTTAGACGATGGTGGGTGTTTAGCGTAGAATCGCTGCCCGAGGACCTCCGGTGGGCTTCGCGACCCACCCGCTGTGCTAGCTCGGCCCGCCCGGGGCGTTCGGGGCCCCGCGGGCTGCGGAAGGGCGCCCCGTGCCGGGGCGTGACGCCATGCCACAAGGCGCTTCTCGCGCAGCCGCTGCTCGCGATGATGTCGGGCCGGATGAGCTGCTAAAATGCGCGAGTCGAGTGGTTGAGCCAAGGAGCCAGATCCGTAACTCTCGCTGGAGTTATACGATCTGTGGGCCCATAACCCTCGCAGGGGCAGCTGCGAGAGTTACGTGGACTGACCTACTGGCGTTAGCGCCAGGGAGGGGGGATCTCAGTACTCTGGGATAGGAAAGGAAAGAGAAAAGGGAGGAGAGCCTCCTCAGTGGGGAAGGTCAGTCAGGGTGGCAGTAGGCTCAGTAGGCTGAGCCTATGGTCCTAGAGGAAGGTAGACCTTGAGGGTAGGTTGAGGTAGAGCTTGAGGGTAAGTTGAGGAAGAGTCGGGAAATAATCCTCGAGGACCGTTGGTTCTCTAAGGTCTTCGTCGTCGCTATCCATCGTATTAGGTGCACGATACCTCGTAAACCAAATCCAAACGGGCAGCCAGCGAACGCTTGCAGCGGCATGTTGTGCTGCACGTTGAAGCACGCGACATGGAGCAAACGGCTCGCACCTTCGAGCGCTGGTCGTACGAGCTCGCGTCGTGGCAGCGGCATGGCCGCGGGAGACGACGCCATCGGCGCGAGAGCGCTGCCGATTGCTGAAGTTTGGGCCCTCGCGTGGAGAGGATTGGTGAGGTTTGGAGAAGATTGTTGACATTAGGCGTAACTAAGTCTTACGAGCCGGCCTCGGCTTCACGCTCGTTGGGTCGAAGTGCGAGCGGTAACACAGGCGCGATGTAACACAGGCATGCTTGCTTACTATACAGGTCAGACGAGGACCCTGCGGAGCTGGCGCTCCGTGTATACGGTATCGCTGTCGTCGGCGGGCCAGTAGACGACGTAGGTGTTCGTGGCCGCGTCGTGGCTCTCGACCTCGCCGTCGTAGGGCGTGGGGTTGAGGTCGTGGGTGAAACAGCCGGCCGCGCGGACGCGGCGCTTGACGAGCGAGGAGTCGTCGACCTTGGCGCGCTCGAGCGACGCGGGCGCGGGGCCGACCTCGCCGACGCGCACGAGCCAGCACTTGCGCACGGGGACGGTGGCCGCGTCGCCGTCGAGCCGAAACTCGGTCCAGGACACGTTCCGGCTCACGACGACGCCGCAGCGGCCCGCGTGCTTGCCCACGGACACGCGGAAGCGCGCCCCACTCTCGGGCGCGCCGGCGTCGCTGTCCTTCCGCGGCCGCGGCGGCGCGCCGCCGCCGGACTCGGACCGGCGGCGGCCGCGGGCCGGGCTCTCGGCCGCGGGCGGCGCGACCGCGGGCGTCGCGGGCGGCGCGAGGGGCATGGCGGCGTCGCCGTCCTCCGTCGCGCCGTCGTCGACGGGCGACGCGGGCGCGGCCTCGGCGGGCGCGTCGCCGGCCTTGGCCTTCTTGTGCCGCTTCTTCCGCGGCGCGGCGCCGCCGACGCTCGCCTCGGACGCCGCGCGCGGCTTCTTGGCCGTCTTCTTGACGATCTCGCGGCCCTCCTCGTCGAACTCGACGAGGTCCGTGGAGCGGAAGGTCTTGCGGTTGAAGGCCTCGCCGTCCTCGTCGGGGTTCGCGTCGAGCTGGACGTAGATCCAGCCGGCCTTGCGGCGCTCCAAAATCTTGCCGATGCGGCCCGTCTTGAGCACGCGGACGTCGATCTGCGCCGGCGCGCCGGCGGCGGGCGCGCCGTCGAGCGCGCCGAGGTCGTGGCCGAGGGGCGACACGAGGGACTGGGCCGTCGCGTCGCCGGCGCGGGGCAGGCCCTCGGGCGCGAACGCGAGGCCCTCCTGGGACTGGGTCCGCGACCGGTCGCGCGGCGACCCGTCCGGCGGCGGCGGCATCGCGCCGGCGACGAGCGGCGGCGGCGGCATGTTGAGCACGAGCGACGGCGGCGCCGCCGCGACGTCGGCGCCGTCGCGGGCCTTCTTCTTGGCGCGGCCGCGGCTCTCCTGCTTCTTCGCGCCGTCGGCGCCGTCGCCGTCGGCCGCGGGCGTCGCCGCGGGCGCGGGCGCGTCGCCGGCCGCGGCGGCGTCGGCCGCGGCGGCGGCGACGAGGTCCGGCACGGACGTCGCCGGCGCGTCCTTGTTCGACGGCTTCTTCTTCGCGCGGGACCCGCTGGCCCGCGGCGTCGCGGCGGCCGCGTCTCGAGCTGCCTCTCATGCTAACCCGGGTCAGTGTGACATGCTACGCCGATAGTGCTGCTATATCCGCGCGCGTAGCACGAAGGACGATGTGCGCCGGGAGGTTCTTGCAAAGGCAGAAGGCCATCGTCAGCAGATGCTTGAAGCGTTTTTGTGCTGGGATATCATGGTTGAAGCGTTTTTGTGCTGGGATGCTTCGTGCTTCGAGTCGTTTCTCGTCGGAAGTCCGCGAGCCCGTAAAGGTCCGCGTGAGCTCGGCGAAGCGGCCCGCGTCGGCGGGCGTGCGCGGAAGCGCGACCGAGGGGCGAGTCCTCGAAGGCAGCGCTGCGCCGCGGGTCCGAGCCCAACTTCTCCGCCCCCTTGAGGGACGGGTCCCGTGCTCGACGTCGCGGACGCGGCGCGGGGGCGCGCGTCGCGCCATCTTCTTCTCTAAGGACGGGCGCGGCATCGACCAGGGCGCGCGCCCCGAGGATCTCGTCCACGTCTTGGACGTCCCAGCGGGACGCCGAGCGCCTCGATGATCGCCGCGGACCGCGCGCCGACGATCGACGCTCCAGTGAAGAGTAGACCCGAGGGGCAAGGAGTACCGTCCGAGGGCGCAGCCCGAGGACGGTGCGACGCAGCCTCGAGCGGTCTACTCTGAGTGGAGTCACCCTTCCGCCTCCTGCATTCTGCTGGTCATGTTTTCTCTCTGCCGTCGCTCTGTGAGGCGTCGTCGAAGTAGGGGCCCATCGTCGACCCCCCTTATTTTAAATCTTAACTCTAGTTATTCGTGATATATATCCTTCCGGCGTTGTGTTAAACGCATACGTATGCGGGATCGAGTGGCTGTGAGAGCTCAGAAGCGCACTGACAGCCGGTTCCCAACCCACCCCGCATGGCGGGCGACGAGGACTGGGCCCCGGGCCTGGTGCCGTGGGGCATGGAGCAGCCCTCCCCGGGCCCCTCCCCCTCTCGCCCGAGCGTGTCCGTGACCGACCGTGTCTCGAGCGCGCGCGAGAGCCTCGGGGGGCTCTCGCTCTTCGACGACGAGGACCTCGCGGACCTCGCGGGGTCCGACGACGGGCTCCTCGACTTCCCGGAGTTGCCCGTCGAGGAGACGTCCTTCGAGGACGCTCCAGCTGCTTCGAGGATGCGTCAACTCTGAAACAAACGAGTTGGATTTGATGAGTCGATTTAAAATATACGAGACTCGGAATGGGCGTGCCAAAGTCGAGATGTTTAATTTAATAATTATGAGTGAAGTTTTCCAGGAATGGTTTATGGATGAGTTTCAATGCAATCTTCCTCTTCCCCTGATGAAGAAAACAGGTGCAGAACCACAGAATTTCGTTGCGCCGACATCGACAGTGGAGTTGTTAGCTGTGCACCAGCCTCAACAGGTGATGCCTGTTGTCGCAGGCAATGCTGCTCCAGTTGCAGAAAATGTTGTCCCGGCTCCAATTGAAGAGGATGTCCCAGCACGGCGGGATCCAATAATCGCTCTGGAACAACGCGTTTCGGCCTTAAAGGCACGATTGCAGACTTACGACTCGCCCTTGAACCAAGGTTCTCGACTCCTTGAGATGATCAGGAAATAGGGGGAGCTCAAGGATTATTTCCTGACTCTTCCTCAACTTACCCTCAAGTTCTACCTCAACCTACCCTCAAGGTCTACCTTCCTCTTTGGCTAGGGTCGCGGTCGACTCCCCCCTGAAACTCCGTTTAATTCAGGGTTGACGTCTTCGGCCCCGGCGCCTGGCCGGACGTGTCCCAGGCCCCCCTGGGACGTGGGTGGCGCGGGGGCGCGCCCGCGGGGGACGGTCCTGGCCGCCTCCAGCGGAGCGAAGCGCTGGAACCATTGCGTAGCCAATCAGCGCCTCGCCTGAAATGCGCAATTGGCGCATTTCAGCCCAGATACAGCCGCTCGAAATCGACATCGGTGTCGATAGCGTCGTTTGCATGGTCTGCTGATCATGGGTTTTGGACCATGGCGCGCACTCTCTACTTCTTCGCGCACAGCCGAAGGTGCGCCGCGAACGTGGCCGGTTCTACGGGCAGCCCGTCGTCGTTGCCGCCGCGGGGCAGCCCTTAGTTGGGGGCCGTCGGTGGACGCTCGCGGAGTCGCTGAACGTCGGCGACTTCGTGGCGCTGGAGACGGGCGACTACTGGCGCCCGCAGCGCGAGGGCGGCGGCAGCACGCACGCCTTTTTGCTCGCGCGCGTCATGGAGCAGCGCGGGAGCGGCGGGAAGGGCTACGTCGTCGCGGACGACCGCGCGACGCGGACGCACGACAACGAGGAGTACCGCCCCGGGGACCCCGTCGTCCTGGTGCGCCTCTTCGACCGCACGGGCGCGGACACGCGCCGCTTCACCGTCCGCATCTACCGCGCGAACGGCAGGAGCGTTCTCCGAAAGCTCGACTCGGGCGACGGCCGCGAGGACCAGCCCGTCGTCGGCGGCACCACCGCCGTCGCGCCACGCGCGACGTACACGATCACCTCGGCCGCCGAGCGCGCGATCACGACCGCGGCGGCGCACTGAGTCCGCTTTTCGCGCGCGTTTCGCCCGCGGGCGTCGTTTCGCGCGCGCGCGCCACACCACCGACGCCGTCCCATCCGAGCCCCTGGCCGACGCCGTCCCTCGCGGACGTCCCCGGACTGGGGCTGACGCGTCGTGACCGCCCCCGGGACCACCCGGTATCGTTAGCAATTGTTTCGTACTTCTGGGGGGGGTCGACCGTGGTCAGAGCCCTTTACAGGACCATAGGCTCAGCCTACTGGACCTACCGCTACCCTGACTGACCTTCCCCACTGAGGAGGCTCTCCTCCTTTCTTTCTCCTTTCCTATCCCAAAGTACTGAGATCCTCCCTCCCTGGCGCTAACGCCAGTAGGTCAGTCCACGTAACTCTCGCAGCTGCCCCTGCGAGCTCACTTCAAGGCCACTACCCAGAGAAGCCTTCTCCCTCTGTTCTTTTGCCTGCACAAGCGACGTGCGTCGCAGTTTCGTGTTCTGCAGCCCGACGCGCAGCTCGTTCCTCTCGGGCCGGCTGCCCATTCACGTCAACACTCGCAACGACGACCCCGACGTCTGGAGTGCCGCGAGCGGCGAGGGCGCGGGGATCGGCACCAACATGACAGGGCTGGCAACGCGTGGGCGGGCGCGTACGAGGAGAAGCTCTTCAAGGCCGAGGCCACCGCCATCATCGGCGACTTCGCCGCGGCCGCGGCCGACGGCGACGACGCGCGGCTGTTTTTGTATTACGCGTCGCACCTGTCGCACACGCCGATGCAGGTGGAGCAACATGTGCTCGACGCGTTCCTCAACGAGAGCGCCACGCTGTCGCTGCCCGGTCTGGGCTACGCGGCCATGACCAACGCGCTCGACGCCGCGGTGGCGAACGTCACCGCGGGATGTGGGAGCGCACGCTGTTCGTCTTCTAGTCGGACAACGGCGGCCCAATCTACGCCGCGAACTTTCGAGCGACCGGCGGCTGCCCGAGCGCCATGCGGCCGGGGATGCATCCCTACGGGACCGGCGGGGCGGGAACCCTACCGCTCGACGTGCCTCGACTTTGGCGGCGCCGCGAACAACTGGCCGCTTCGCGGCGGCGAGGCCAGCTGCTGGGAGGGCGGCGTGCGCGTGGCTGGCTTCGTGAGCGGGGGTGCGCTGCCCGCGGCGCAGCGCGGCACGCGCTGCGCCGGACTGTTGCACACGGCGGACTGGTACGCAACCTTTGGCGCGGGGCGCGGCGAGCGGGCTGCCCTCGATCGACTCGCTGGACATGTGGCTGATGGTGAGCGGTGCGAATGCGACGTCGAGCGGAAAGCCGGGGCCGCGCGCGCTAGTGACGGCGCGGTACAAGCTGCTGCTTGGAAACGCGGGCGCGCCCGGCCTGGGGATGGACGGCTGGACGGGCCCGCACTTTCCCAACGCGAAATCGATGGACCACACCTGGCCCCAGACTGCGGCGCGGGCCGCCTCTTCGATTTGCTGTTGGACCCGACGGAGCATCACACTGCCAAATACACCGTGCTGTGTCATTCTTATTTCCCCCTGCGATATTGGTTGCTCTTGATTTGTTCTCGGTTCCTAGTTGCATGTATCTCGTAGATTATTGGCCCCCATATATATAGTTTGATTTATTTGATTTATTAATTTCTTTACTTCAGAGGCATGCAGATCGATCGACGCGATCTCGGAGCGATCGACACGGACACGCGCTCGGCGACGGACGCGTCCAGATTTAGGACAATGACGGGTCGACGACAAAGAGGCAGCTGCGCTGGCACCGAAACCGACGAGGTGACCTTAAGCTTCAGACCTCCTGCGCGGCCCGCTCGAGGCGCTGGGCGTCGACGGATTTAGGTCGGCAAGCACGCACCGCGCGATAGACGCGCGCACCATGACCAGAGGAGTGTCGCCGCTGCCCTCGATCAGGCGAAGGCACCAACGAGGTGCGTCGGACAGCGGCGTTTAACATATCCCGCCGGCGGGATATGTTAGCAAGGGCAAGTGGGCGCGGCCGACCTCGAGGCCCAGACGGACATCAGTTACGTCGGCGCGACCTCCAGGACGCCATCGTACCCCGCGCCGAAGGCGAACGCGTGGCGGTTGAAGGCGAGGCGGGAGATGTCGGCGCCCGCCGCCGCGCAGAGGGGCGCTTTCGCCGCGAGGACGAGGTGGACGAGCCAGGCCTCGTTGTGGTCGAAGCCCGTCGTGCCCAGTCGGACGGAGGCGTCGTAGCCCTCGACGGCGGGCGCGCCGAGGGGCGCGGTGTCGACGGCGCCACCGCGGGCACCGAGCGCGGCCTTGAGCTCCGCGAGCGTCGCCGGGTAGGCGTCGAACGCCGCGCGCGGCAGCGACAGCCACCACCAGCGCACCGTCGAGAGGTCCGACGCTCGGGCCGCCGCGGCGTCGAAGAGCAGGAAGCCGCCGCCGCCGCCGCGCGCGGCGCCGCGGTCCGCAAAGGCCCGGGCCGTCGCAAAGAG